AGAAAGGGTTATGGGACCTCTTAAGCAGGTGAGACATACAGTAGCATGCCAAACTCTCCATGGACTGTCTCTCTGTGAATGGGAGGTATGGTGAGGACCGCCTTTCCTCCTTCCTGGTGGCCTCACTTCCCTTGGTCCTACCCTTCCTCAAAGCCCATATTTGTGCAGAAGCTGCTGACCTCCAGGGGCGTGTTTGCAGGGCAGGGTGTGTGAAACACCAGCAGCGACCCAGCACATCACTTCCAAGCCCTCGGCCTTACTCTGCAGTGTAGCCGTGAGGCCGGCAGCATCCTGGATGTTGTGTCCCTAACCCCACTGGCCCAGAGAAGCTCCTGCCCTGAAAAGGGGAGGGAGGAAGTTTGTCTCGGGGACTGTCACCAGTATAACCTTGCACACTGCATTCTCTGGGGTACGGAGACCTTCTGTAAACAGGGGGAAGTATTCTGGGCAACCTGGATTTTGCGGTAGGAGGAACAGGAAATTAAAGCTTTACTGGGACCCTGAGAGCTGTCGTCTGGGACACATACAATGGCAGCTGCTTTCACCCCAGCCTCCTACAGACTCTGTGGCTACATGCTTTTTTGGAGGGTGGAAACACAGCAAACCCTACGATGACTCGTTACAGAATGATCTGCATGAACATTCATCTCAACCCTTTTAAGAGACAATTTGAAAATAATTTTGTGTCATAAAGGTCCTAGCACAGACTAATGTTTGAGAATACATCATTCCTTTTAAATTTTTAATCTCGAGCATTTAAATTTTTAATTTCTCACTATTTCACAGTAAAAACAACCAGGAAAGTCTGATAGATATTTATGGTTATTAGTAGGTTAGGTGTTTGGAAACACTTTTAAAAATCTCTATATGCATAGATAACCAAAATAATCATAGAAACCAGAACAGTAACAGCATCCCCTTGGTAGTGACACACCACTATTGTCTCAAGAGTAAGAGCAGTAATATCATTTCTGTGCAAGGCTTGGAGGTCACCCTCACCCTTGACTAAGCCTGCACCCAAACTACAGATCCAAATTTCTTAGTACTCACTGTTCAAACTCATCTTTAAATTCAGAACTGTGGCCTCTGACTCAAAAACTGCTCTAAATGTCATTTGCAATGAATAACTCTGTATTAAATTAACAGATCCTAATGCCAACTAATCTCAAGATAATGAAATATCTTGCTAGCAGGCTAATGTTCTGCCCGCACAGAACACAGCCTTGCTACGCCACATACCACCCTCTACCAGTCCTCTCGTAGTTCCTCTCCCCCCATCACTTGAGCTCTACTTTTCATTACTAAAGTTCCCTTCTACATTTCAGTTTCTGAAGCTAGCTCTCCGCGTCCCCAGCCCAGCACCTCCCAAGCATTAAACAAGAAGGAAGCCAGCACTACAACTGTAATTTCTGAAGATATTTTCTGCTGGTTATTTACTTCATCCATGTATGTTGACACTCTTCAATCCACCAAAATAGCACAAGGCAGGCCAGAAGCACTCGGGGTAGGACTGAAGTTGAACATGGCCAGATGGAGAGATACCGATAGCACCATGAGCAACGAGGGTGTTCTGTTAAATGCAGTCTTGAAGATAAACACACCTCACCTTACATCATCCATGGGGGGTTGCGAGACAGTGCTGAGAGGTCCTTTACTGGACATACTAAATTTGAATCTGCTACAAAAAGGTTCGTTCTTTTATTCTATTTGATTGTCTATTGTCCAGAGTTTTGACTAACAACTCTTTGATTGGGTGTTAATTCTAAGTTTGTGTGATTTCTAGAGGTAAAAATATGAAACTTATCTTTCAGGATCAAGTTATACATTATCAAACACTATCCCTGCTCTAGAAAAGCTTTCAAATGCATATTAACTTGCAACACAAATAGTCTGGTAAAGCCAGTGCAACTGGTAATGCTGTGCTCTTCCACATGAGGTCATAGCATTTTGCATATATTCTTACCAAACAGCTATAGAAAATTCCCCAAACTGGCATTTATTGAGCAATAAATCCAAGTTTATTTTATTACAATTCCTTTCTCCATAAAAACTCACCCTATGTAGTCAAAACCACAACATTTTGCCAGCAGTACAGGCCCTCTTACTGACTGAGACGTTTTCTCTGAGACTTGGTAGAAAAGTTAAGCATCTAACTACACAGAAAATAGGCGGCAGTTTCTCAGATGCTAAGGGAGAGGGCAAAATAAAGTGACAGTCATGTGGAACGTGGAGCTAGTTGTATAGCACATGGCTTTTGAATTTTATTCAGCTCCACACAAGAGGAAAAGGGCGTAATTTTTACTGCCTTAAACTTTCATACTCTAAACACTAATGTCATTCTTCTGCTTACCTGTGGGCATCCTGTGTCTCTAGGTACTCTAGGGCTCTCGGTGTGAAACTACAATTCAGGAAGCATTTCAAAGTGCTAGCTTAGAGCAAAGCCAAGGGAAAGGGCTCTTGGTGTGAAACTACAATTCAGGAAGCATTTCAAAGAATTTTCTCCAGTGGAGAAAATCATGCAATACTACGAGTTGTCCAAATTAAGAGCAATGGAGTGGAAATTACAAGGTGAACTTGTAACTACTAAATGCTAAGGGCAAAATTTGCAGTTCTGAAATGTGCTTGAGTGATCTTCCCAGATACTGAAGTTTGGGGAATAAACGACGACCAGCTGCAACATACACAGCAGGAGCAAGTTTCCTCACAAACCCCAAACTGGCTTCAGCTCTGGAAATATCACAAGTAAGAGCATCTCAGTGTTTACCTTTGTTCTGAACAACTGGTAAGTCACCTGCGTGCGTGAACTATGCTGTGACCACTTTATATGTCATAACTATCAGTTTAAAAGCACCACCCAACCAAGGCTGGATTTAAACCAGCAGTTTTGAGGTACATCAGACCTCATTGCTAACTGCATACAGCAGCAAATAACCTCCTACAAAATAGTTAATTTTTCCTGCAAGTTTCAGCATCTCTCACACTGCCCTGGGCGCACATCACACACTATATGCTGCCATCACCGCGTTCCCTTTGTACACGCAGCTAGCGAACAGAAGCCAGGTTAATAAAGGGTTTGCTGGTTCACTCATTTTGGCTGGGGGAAGAGGGTTGTTAACAACAGCCATCACTCTGAGTGAACTCTGGAGATTCACCTTATGTGACTGGGCTGCCTATCTATGCATAATTCATGATCACATTTGACACTGCTGTAGAGGTCTCAAAAACCAGACTTCCTGCACATTCTATAGAAATCAAGACCCAGATAAAGTGGATCGACTCATGTTAGTGCCCCTCCTGTGCAAAAATAATGACAAGCAGAGGCCTTTAGCAACTGCAGAGCAGCAGGTCAGTTGCCAGGTGTAGTGCTCCAACATATACACCACTTCTTCGTCTGGGCAAATCTCATCACATACTGGATGTGTTGGGGGACCACGAAGTACTTATACAACACAAGAGCTGGCAGGGAGGAGAATTATTGTGAGGTGGGAGGGGGGGATTGAGGACAGACCCATAATAAACATCATATATCCTTAGTTGTATCATTCAAGGAAGCTACTTACCTCCCATAAAGAAGTCCACAGAAGAGGTTAAACACATTGAGAAGTACATGCAAGGTGCTCAAAAACATCTTTTGACACTCAGCGCGTGCATATGTATGCTCTCATAGTTACTCCAAACACGCTATAAAACCTGCAACACTACACTCAAGTGGTTTTCAGTCAGAATCAAGCCCATTCCTTTAACAAGCTAAAAAAACCCCAAAGCTCTTGATTCTCTTTAAATTGTCAGTTGCCATCAACTTTCACACATGTAGTATGATAGGAGGTGGCATCTAGAATCTTGCCTTTCCTCAACTGAGGAACATTGAGAAACCGGGCAGAAGTTGCATCCAGCATACAAAAAAAATTTATGAATTTGCCAGTGCTGGAAAAAGGATATAGGTAAAAACCAAGACTCCCATGAAGGAACTGAACAGCTCCAGTAATTTGAACTCTTTGCCGTCCAGGCCAGCTTCTCAGCATTTTGTTGTGTCAATATTGACATTTGGGCTCCAGTATCTATTAAGAATTTTATTAATCGTTGTCAAGGACCAAGTAGGATTTAAATATGTAGGCCATTGTTATTTATCCATCCATAGGATTCTACTTGCCGGACAGACTTCGTCAATGATTTACATCTAAGGATAGCATACGCCTAGCAGCATTCTAAGACTAATTATGTAATTAAATCACATATTTACAGATGACTTAAATTGATTTACATGTGTATGCACAGACATGATTTTTTTATATATATAAAAAGGTATACCTGCTATAAATTCCCCTCGAGTTCAGTGAAATACTCACGTCAAATGTCTTGGCATTACTCAACGGGCAAGGGGTGAGCCTCAAAGAGTGAAGGGTTTCAGCCCAGGCTCCACTGTCCGTCTTCGGCAATGGACCTCCGATTTTTGCCAACTTCAGAGTTTGCAAACTCCGAGAGGTGTCCCACTCAGAGAGAGATACCGGTCACAGCCCGCTTGTAGCCCAGGAGAGCTCAAGGGGCCTTACTCTGAACTGCTGTTCATAGTATCATGAGATGATTGGCTTTAGTCATTTGTAAACTGTCATCCTGACCACAATCCGGCTGGCGATTACTGGAATTCCAGTAACAATGGCACCGCTCCGCTTGGGTTGCGACCCAGGTGAGGCGTGTTCCAAGGCTGTCAGGGGAAAACTGATAGCTCCTGTTCTGCTCCCTGCCTTGACCAGTCAACCGCTGCTTCTAGCACCGACACTGCCTCTCCCCACCTCAGCCATGGAGGAGTTTCTGGTACAATTAAGGGGCACCTGACCGACCAACTCACTACACAAAGGCCGAGGTCTGGCGGGAATTCCTGAGGTCCTAAAGCAGTGGAAGAGTGAAGGAGGGGATGCACCACCACAGTGATAGCTCACAGGAAACCAGCAGAAAAGACTTCTGAAAAGTCTTCCATAAAGTAAACCAATAAGAAATAGCAGTAAAGTGTTTAATGCCTGCAATTTATTGTATACATACTCTGCAAAACTTATATGCATTTGGTGTGTGCAAAAGTATACACTTTCTTGACAGCACCAGAAAACAGTTAAGCTATGTACGAGATTTTAACCTGATTTGTCACATTGTGTAAAAAGACATTGTGCACAAATGATATCCCCAAAGAAAAAAATCATTGGCTAGACCTAGAAGTACCTTTACTTACACACTAACATTTTAATATTGCATCACACCCACTCACCAAAATAAATAGAAGTACATTCATCACAATTTAAACACCAGTCTTTCCATATATTTATTTTCTTTCTGACATGTTTTGGTCTCCAGAAATATGCTATATCTAGAAATATGCATCAGCTACTAGATTATGTTACAAAATGCAAAAAAAAATAGAAAATTAGTTTTCCTGGACAATATTTTGGGCTTTACACAAAAATAAATCCAGATTTCCATAGAGATCTCATATACTTCTTGGAAAGATTTTTATTTTAAAGCACAGCACAGAGTTGCACACTAAGGCTTCCTGTGATATGCAAAACCCTGGCCTCCAAAAGACATCGCTGTAAAGTGAAATACAGCTCAAGTGTAAATACAAGACATTTTCAAAAAGTAGTCATCAATAGAAAGTGCCCTTCATTTGATTTAGCATTAGCAGTAAAGAAGTAGCTACTGTAAGTGTGCAATCAAAGCCAGACCTGGAAGGGTTTTATGAGAAGTGTGTTATTTCACACTATCAAGTTTAAGGATATAGAATCTGAGATAGCAGAAACCAACCAACCTTTTTATACTCCTACATTCATTTTTTTTTTTTGACACAATTTAGTAAAAAAGGCACATTGTCAGACAGTGAATTAAAAATCTAAAAACCAAACCAGAATTCCATTAAATACAATTAAATCTTTAGCTTAACATCAGATCCTTGTAAACCAATATAAGCATTCTTCCAGTTTTTCTTGACCTCAAATTCAGATGCACTTTGGATGAGTACTGAAGCACTCTCCTTAGATTAATACTACTAATCTGACAAGCAGTAAACACATTTTTGGATACAAGGTCAGGAACTAAAACCCCCAAATTTAGTTCCTTCCTAGCCAATTTACAAATATGCAAATGCAAACACATTAAACCCCAAACATTTGTACAAAATTTGAAAACCATTAGCATCCCATGCCAATTATGAGAAAGTACTTCTCTACTGTAAAATTACAAATGTGTCCTTGAGTAATTTTTCATGAGAGATGAAATTTAAGCAACGAATAAACAGTTACACAGTGCCTTAGGGAGGCTAGCAGAGTACATTCCAGTCACCATCTAAAAGACAAATGACAAAGTGCTTTACAGATTAAGACATTTAACTGATCTTGCATGGTTAAATAATCAAGAAAGTGGTGAAATAATCAGGTTTTATTTAGCTTATATTTATCTGAAATGCAGATTTAATTCCCAGCTGAACCAATTTTGAATTAATATATTTCATTTGCTTCATAAGAGACTGTTTTTCCCAACTTTTTTTCCAACCAGGCAGGAAATTGCTCACAGCTGATCTATAACTGTCTGGGTTGACAGACCCAGAGCTTTCTCCAGCTAAAAAGAATTAAAAAAATAAAAACAGTAACTTGATCATGGTCCCAGGGTTCATTGTCTTGAATGGATAATTCTAGCAACTACAACAGAAAATCTTAGATTGTCCCAATGAAGTAGAGCAAGTACAACACTTCTAGACAAACAGTGAGGTTTAGCTATCTTGCGTGATCTCAAGTGCATACACTGAGAAACAGCTTTTGTTAGTTAGTAAAGAAAGTTAAAAATACAGAGGAGCAACAATGGTATCTTCATCTGGGCTCCTGTCAGCTAATACTGAATTAGTTTATAGAATCCATTCCAATAGCTTACTCATGTCAGTGTTTTACTGAGGCAGTGAAATGCTACACCATTGACAGAAAACATCTTAAAAAGGCAAGTCTGCTTTTTCTTACATTAAGAGTCAGATGTTTAAACTTCAGCAGCTTCCAAGATTGTTCCTTACAGGTTGCTATCTGAACTGCTTCCTAGAAGCAGCACTGTTAAGAATAGCTCCCTGATAGGAAAGGTTCCTTTGTCGTTTTTCTACACTGTAGTTTTTCCTTTTTATTCTTTTACTTTCCTCCCCGCACCCCAAACACCTTTTTTTACTTTTCAAAGTACTTCTAGCATTAAAACGTAACAGCCTCAGCAGCTGAAGCCAGAGGTACTATCAATGGAGTCCTGGAGCTTGAGGCCAAGTTGAGTAGTGGTAACTGGTGAGTTTTGAAGGGCAACCTGGGGAAATCAAAGTAGATGCAACACCAGATTTGAGCTTCAAACTCTCAGTACAACTCCTGTAGAATTACATGAACCCTGTGCTGATTGTAAACAATTTCAGTTACTGAAAGAAACAGTCTTTAAGTGCATAGTTAGAAATAATGTGCAAATATGGGCATTAAGGTAAGTAACTGAACTAACTCTCCTACTATGCATTTTAGATTTTTGGTTTGATGAAATTAATTGCAATTATTAATGAGCTAACATGAAGTTGTTAAATGCTGAAGAGCTGCAAATACATTCTAACAAAAATTAATTCTGATGTGCTTTCTAAATAGCAAGCCTAATTAGATAAATGACTGCTTCACATTTTAAATCATTTAACACATCGGATGTTTAATGCAAGAAAAAACATGTGCACTGTACACAATTTGTAAAAGCAGCAGAAGCTGTTAAACAAATGTGAAGATTTACAGGGCAGGAAAAGAATTCCCAAGCATATGCTTGAGCCCAAAAGCACAAGTTACATACAAACACCAGAAATTCCTGTTTTCAGAGTGTGTATTTATCATACTGAATTAGATTGGCATTGGAATTCCAGACACAGCAAAAGCCAACATAATCTTTTGGCCATACTTATAACTGTACAATTTGCAAATGACATGCACTCTTCTGTTTAGAAATAAAGAGGTTCAAATTCTTTTATGGGTCCTCAGATCAGAAAATATGCAGCACTTTATTGCTTTGAACATCTGTGGCAACAGCTGAATTTACACCCAAGCTGCTTCTGTACAGAAGACAACACTTCAATACTTTGAGGCTCAAGTTGGGAGACAGAATAGGATATAAAGCAATTTCTCCAAGTCTCAAGAAATATCAGGGAACAAGAATGCTATTCCTTTCTTTCAAATGAATGCAAAATTGGTTTACTGGTATATGGGCCTACACAGTTCCAAGTCAGTGCATAGCTAGTCATTATTTCTGCTGGCATCTTGAACTGGTTTAATCAATGGAAACATCTATTAATTTTATTCCACTTAATAATATGCATTAGTGCATTAATTTCTTCATAAAAAACCAACCCTGGCAAGTATTAAAAATAAATATCTTATTTAGGTCAAACTAAAGCCTTGCTTTTCAGTACTTTAATCGCTTTAAATATTCTTTTGCCCTCTAACAAGCAAATGGAAACTGAAGTAGAATAAAAGATGTATGGAGGCAGAGGGTAGCAGAAACATGAAAAGTCAACACCATAGGTCAGTTAACGTGTCCTCAGCTTCTTAGACTGTCTCTTGCGTTTTAATTCTTCTTCTTCCCGTCTCAATTCTTCTAAGTCCTCCTGAACACCGAGTCTCAAGCTGCCAAATAAGATGAAATCCTTTACATGCTGCTACTCAAGAAACATGACATTTGGACTTCTACCCCTCCCCCAAGAAAAGCAATCCTAAAATTACAGCCAGTTTGAGCAAAAATTTTAGATCAGTTCAACAATCATAAATTTTCTTTAATTATAGTGAGAATACAGCTTTAAGAAAAGAAATCAAGATCTTATCATCAGATTAGAATCAAGTCTTTTGAGGGAAATATTTAAAACTTTTGTTAAAAAAAATCAAGACTGAAAAAACCTGATTTTAATACAAAAGGTCATTTTTTCAAATAAAAAGCTGCTTAAACACATCCATCAATTCTTGCCAATGTAACTCTTACGTACAAGTCATAGCAGGACTGACTCTCATCAACTTGAGAGCCACCTAGACCTTTTTACATTGGCAAGGGAGATAATGGCTATGTCAAACAGCAGAGAAGCAAAATTTTGTTGCAACTTCCTGGCTTGAGGCACCATTCCAGTAGTGACAAGCACAAGATGGCTCCACCCTCAGTCCATCTAACTGCTGTGACTCCTGTGAAGAGGCCCATTGGAGAGACTCTTCTAACAGAGCATGTTCAGCTGTGTCCCTGAATATTTTCTTCAGCTTCCTAGAAGTCAGTATGTTGAAAGTGATACTTAAACCAGTATCTGTAATCATCCATCTCCTCTTCAATAAATAAGGGCTGGAGAATCTTGCTGGTTTCATACTAGGAGTGGGTGTGGCAAAGTTACCATTTTGTAATTAGCTACTGGCTCATTTGCAGCCCCGCCATGTGCATTTGTACATCCATAGTTCATTCTAAAGCAACATAAGGTAGCATCGCAAATGCCTCCATGCAAAAGGTTCAACCACATAACAATGAGGATTCAACTGTTCTGGGCTAAACTGCTCTAAAATGGATTTTATGCCTAAACAAGCATAGCAAAGTCACCTTTAATTCAGGAAACTGCAGTCATATGAATTAAGAACAGAAACAAACACATCAAGGATCTATGTGATAAAACTCTGGCTTGAAGCATCATTTTTTATTTCAACTTAGAACTTAACAACTATAATTTTAGTGGGCTTGCTTGGCTAGAAAAGGTTCCTCATTTTAAGTGTCACAATGCTTTTAACCAAAACTCCCAGTGAAAAAGTATCTGAGCATTGAAAAATAGTTAAATTCAATTTTACTCAAGTTTCTTATCTCCTATTCCTTTATGCTAGGACTTGTGTAGTTAAAAGCTAGCCAGGTATAGCAAAACCTCCCTCTACATCTTCAGAGAATTCTGTCAACAGCAACATCATTGTAAAATTCCAGTCGTTTCCTCTAATTCCATTTAACAGACTATAGCTTTGCATGAGCTGCAGCTATTCCCCAGGGGCAAGGAGGAATAAGGACCCTGACTATAACTTCAAATAGATGCAAGGTTCCAACGCTCAAGGCACCTTCTGAATAACAATACAAAAATTTCAGTAGAACAAAAAAATTGGTAACTCAGTATATTCCAATATTTTCTGTTATCTATAAAAACCTCTTATAACTTTCAAAGCTTGTTCCACCAGCCATTAAAAACAAAAAAAGAAAAATCAGTTTATGAATACTGCTTTTTATAACAGCAACGTAAGACTTGTGCAGGTCAGGAGGCCAGAACCCATGGTCAAAACCAATATGAGAATATAATCTTCATATTTGAAATCACTGATTAAAAAAGTTTGCCAGAGTTACTTTTTATACATACATTAAATACACACACACACACATATAGACAAAACAAAATAAACCTCCTTCCAGTCCTCAAACTAGCAGAATATTGTAATGTTTGGGACAAGCTGAAGGGTTTAGCATTTCAACTGAAGTTTAAAGTATTTTTACAAAGATTTTTAGGTATAAGTTGGTTTTAGTTTGGGGCTTTTGTGTTTGTTTTTTTAACAAGCAAAGTTTATGATGCATGAGAATGAACATACAAGATTTATTTACTGTACCCACCACTGGACAGCTGAGTTTCATCTTTACCCAAGCTTTCTTATAAAAAATGGTAAGGCTTATTTACCTCTGCTATAAAAAGCAGCAAATATCCTCTTTAACTTAGCCCCATGACTTCCCACCCGAGTTTAAATCCGTGCATACCTCCTAGCTTCTTCTTTCTGTTGCTCTCTCCAGCTGCTCTCCATGTAACGTAAGGCATAATCACTTTCATCTTTGTATCTGGAAAGTAAGTATTATATTTCAGCACACTAAAACCCATGCTCATGTACAGTTGAGTTATGAATTCACATACCTTCTTAGAAAGAATAATTACCTTGCTATACACAGATTTTAATGTTTTGAAAGAATCTAAGTTACAAGCCTTTAAAATGCTTGCTTTTTGTACCTTATTGTCAGACAAGAGGGAAGTATTTAAGTACGCTAAATAAGAGCCTTCATTTTCCAGCAGTTTCTAGTCATACCAAATTAGATCCTCTTACAGAACAGCTAACACAGTTAGCAGTTCATATTCAGGCAGCTACGTTTGATGAATTCCGAAATACTGCACACTGCTATAGAAAGCATTTTAACATCCAATAACAGGAAAGCGTTGCTAGGAATTACACAAGTGAGATATTGAAGAAGCTGTGTGGTTTTCCAGCTATGGTCTATTGCATCAGATTTTATTGTTCCCCAGAAGAGCATGGCAGGCAGTGTGAAAATTCAAGGCCCCTTCTGCACAGAAGCAGCTCTAACACTTGTTAAATTTCTGCAATGCAAAACCATTTATGGATACCAGCATTTCCCCTATTTCTAAAACATTTTTATTTGTTGAACTGTATTAATTTCTGTTGTTCTGTGGTTCTACAGTATCTGAAAATTCACATTTTTCTTACCTTTTCCGGTCATAGCCAAATATTTCCCGAATATGTTTTGATATTTCTTCTTGGGGTTCCCCTTCATCTTCAATGAAGTCATCCATTTCAGAGTCATATTCATCATCATCATCATCTATTTGTCTCTTATAACCAATAGGTGGTCTTCCAAGACCTGAATGACAGGGAGTGAAAAGAAATAATTAACTAATAACATTAATATAACATTAATTTAGCAGTACTTCTCCTTGCTATACCTTGGGTGCAGCCATTTTACAGCTCTGGGCTTCAAGGTGGAACACTTCTGCCTCAGGTTAACTAGCAATTCTTAGAAATTCAGTAAGAGGAAATACTTCCTCCTCTAGGTTGTGCTATAGAAGATGACATGTCAGTATCACCAACTGCATCCTGAGGAAAACTAAGAGACAGAAGTCTATGTTCTTGCTCAGAGTTTTCTAGGCACTTATTTGCTAGAGTCCATGCTGCTTGTTTCTGTTCAGAAATAAGTTTTTAGAATTGCTTGCTTACTGATAAGGTGAATTTGCCAAAACACTTAACTATCAGTCACAGGTTTGCTGTGTAGTTTTAATTTTCATGTACCACTTTAAGCATCTGTTATTTAAGACACCAGGAAATTTTAAAGACTAAGCGTAACTAAGTGAAGTAGGACGTGAATCCTTCAATTCTTTTCCTTCTAGCAGCATTCATTTACCAACATCCATCACAGGCTGCTTAGTTTTGTTTCATGTAATACTTCACGCCTCAGGCCTGTATTTCAAAGAACATGAGCGTAGGTAAAAATCAATAAAAAGTTGAAAAGCAGAAAAAAGCATTCTACTGTTAAATGCACTCTAAAAGGCAAATATGGTATCTTGTCCAAGTCTTCCTAATCGCATCTATAATTATCAAAGACCGTGACCTCAACTCAGACATATATAAAAAATACAAAACAAATAACTAAGTGAAAAAATCATTTTGCTCTAGCACTTTATACCTTGTGGATGAAGCACAGGTCTATGCCCTTGAAGAGATCTCATTCCATTTAACTGTCCATTGCTAGGTCTCGTGACTAGGTTTTTAGAAGAAATAGTTTCTGATACAACAGTACACTTCGGTTTTACAGCTGTACCCAAGCCACTGCCTGGTCGCCCAGGTCCTGCACTTGGGTTGATGCCTGGTCTTCCTGGTCCTGTTCCCAAGCTGCTGCCTGGTCGCTTGGCTCCTGTGCTTGGACTGATTCCTGGCCTTCCTGGTCCGGTTCCCAAGCTGCTGCCTGGTCGCCCAGGTCCAGCACTTGGGCTGACTCCTAGCCTTCCTGGTCCGGTTCCCAAGCTGCTGCCTGGTCGCCCAGGTCCAGTGCTTGAGCTGACTCCTGGCCTTCCTGGTCCTGTACCCGTGCTGCTGCCTGGTCGCCCAGGTCCTGCATTTGTGCTGACTCCTGGCCTTCCTGGTCCAGTGCCCAAGCTGCTTCCCGGTTTCCCAAGTCCTGTGCTTGAGCTGCCAGCTGGCCTTCCAGGTCCCATGCCTGAGCCACCACCCAGCCGCCCAGGTCCCAGGCTTGAGCTGCTGCCTGGCCTTCCAGGTCCTGTGGCTGAGCTGCTGCCCAGTCGCCCAGGTCCTGAGTTTAAACCACTTCCTGGCCTTCCAGGTCCCATGCCAGAATTGCTGCTCGATCGCCCGGGTCCTGCACTTGAACTGCCGCCTGGATGTCCAGGTCCTCCTTTTCCTAAGCTGCTACCTGATCGTTTTGCATTGGAGTTTACTCCATGCTGAAGGGCTGCAGCATTTCCTGATTTTGTATGGGCAGACTTTTTCAGGCTGGATTCTTTAGTGGATGGTAGCCTTTGAGCCCCATTGGCTGCTGGTTTTGAGGGTAGCGCATGAGACCTTGAGCCAGACTTTCCAATACCATTGACAGGTAATTTACTATGACTGCTACCAGCAGAGCTTTTTAGGGAGCCATTTTGTGAGTTTTTTTCCATTTGATCAAATCTGGAGGAAGATGATGAACGTGAGTGTTTTTCAGTCAATGCTGGTGCTTTGGATTTCTTATCAGTACCACTCATAGAAGATGACAGACTGCCTTTTGGTGTGGAATGTTTATCTACTGAGCTTTTGTTAAGTTTTGCATTTACAGATTCTTTCTGAGAAGTCACTTTTTTTGAAGAACTGGATATCCCTGTATTCTTAATTTCTTTCTCACTTTTCTTATGACTTTCTATTCTTTTGTTTTTGCGTCCCAAATACTCCCTCTCTCTCAATTCTTCTGCTGTTCTGGGTCTCTCTTCTACCTTTTTCACTGCTTTTATTTCCACTGGTTCATACTGTTTTTTTTCAGCAAGCCTTAAGAGTTCTGCAAAGTTCAGAGGTGCTGGTGCACTTTTGGGAGGCGCCTTTGGTTTCACTGCAACTTTGGATGGTTTCTCTTCATATTCTTCTTGCTCATGCTCAGATTCAGTCTGACTGTATTCGAGTTGCTCAGTTTCATCTTCTGTTGCATACTCAGCCTCTGGGGCCTGAGCAACATTCTCACAAGTCCTCCTCTTTTTAGGCTTCTCTTCCACAGGAATGCCATTATAGCCATAAAAATTATCCTTTGTTCGTGAGGCCATAGCTCTTGCCTTTCTGTCATGTTTCAGTTCAATACGTCTAGCCAAGAGTTGTTCTTTCTTTCTTCTTTCTTCCAGTGCTATAAAAGAAAACCAGGAGAAAGTTATGTAAAATACTTTTAAATTTCTTCCAAATTGATAAACCATTTAGGACAGTAGTTTAAGGATATCTGGCTAACAGCTATTCAAAATAGACCAGAAAGTGATCAGAGGTCTGCCAAAAGGGCAAGCTAGCTCACATGAATCAGCTACTCTGACAAACAAAGGTGAACAACTAAGTCAAATGCTGCTATTGCAAAACCCACTAAGGTGATTCAACTGAAGCAGCTCTGCAGAATTATATGCAAACTAAGGAAAATTACTGTGTGAGGAGGTACAGGATTTGGGGATCTCTGGGTAATGGAAGGAGTTCCAAGACCAAGCAAGAGAATTTTGAGACCATACAGAATTTACTATCAGATGTTTAAGGTAAGATGAGGAAAGGGAGGGAATCAAAGAGTATTGAGGGGATAAGAATTGGAGAACAGGCTGAGTGTGTGTGTAGAAGGGTATAGGGGAGAGAGAAGCAGCCAGCCACTGGTAAGCAAGCTGCTGGTCACTACTTTTATCTGATAGAGTCCTGTGCCCCATCTACACAGTCTGTCCTATATTCTTACTGAACCATTTTCAGCTATTTTCTGCATAAGTATGCTCCCTATCTTAAGTCTGATTGTGATCAGCTGACAGAGTTCAGACTGAACTAGCTGGTGAATAGGATGAGAGGTTTGAACACCAGATACTGGAGAGACCAAGGGAGGGCCAAATACCAGACTCAGGAAAAGCATCTATTCCTAGAAAATTGATTGGGCTACTCATGCTGTGGGTGACTGTAAAGGTACCATATCCCCTGTCTGTGTTATTCTGTTGTCAAGGGCTATGACTGTACAGAGCATGAGTGTATGCATGCCTATGTGGAATGCATGCTCAGCCTTGCTTCTGGCTGGACCTGTCAGCAGGGATAAGGAGCAGGCTCATGACTGGCCCAGGAGAGAAGGAATACACTGGGCCATCCAGTCCATCAGATTTGGTTACCTTTAACAAAACATTAACAACAGAAGCAACACAGTACTAGTTTATTCCATAGGATATTTAAAGGAAATATAATACAGTGGAAAAACTGTGGCTCTAACAAAGCCTCTGCCATACAAATTTAAAATTCAGATTTTATTGATACACTAGATTAAGACACAACAACAGGAACTCTTAGCATTTTTTCACACAGGTAAAGCTTTTAAAAGTTATCAAATGTCCAGATCTCTTTACCATAACTACTTCTTGATCTCCAACAGTAAATGCTAGTGCAGCTGATTAATATTTAAGTCCTTAGTAAGCATGCAAACATCCCTAGTCCTTACTTAGTCTTGGCTTTCCCTCAGCATCAGTTATGTGCGTAAATTCCAGAACAGATGTGTAGCTGTATTTGCAATAGCTTTGAAGAAGGTGACAAGGTCTCAAAGAGTCAGTGAAAGACTCCCATAGGAAATATTTTGGACTGTTACCTTTTTTCCTTTTTTCTTCTTCTTGCCGTCTGAGAAATGCTTGCACTGCTGCAGACTCTACACCCTTGACTTTTGGAACCTTTTTGGGAGGACCAACAGCCAAACTGTACCTTTTCTGCAAAGAACAAAGAAATATGTCAGAAAAGCTAAGAAATGTAAAAATCTTAAAGTTTTTAAAACAGAGGAGTTGTGTAACAGTCATGTACTTGACTTTAAGCATAGAGATGGTACAGAATAAACAAACAATGAATTCCCACTGATGCTGAGAGTTGTGACAGATACACTTGACTCTTGGCTGTACTTTGGTTCAGGCTGACTAAGGAGCAAAAAGCCTCATGTCCTTGGGGTGAATTTGTGAGCTAGAAAGCCCCTGGCTCACGTACAAGGGAGTGAGGGTGTCTTGAAAAGGTCTCTTGTATTTGAGAGGTGGTTTCAAAACCAGAAGTGCAAGATAACCAAACTACAGAACAAGATACCAGAGCTAAAACAAAGACATCTATCTTGTCTATATTATTGACTAGCAGCCAACTACTTCACCCTATAAATGTTACCAACAGGATGGGCCCAAATTGAGCCCTCCCTGAACTGCAGCTGGAATGCATCCCAGGTGACTCTCCCCTTGAGCAGGGACACCTCTCAAGGTTAGAGATTCCTTACCTGAGACTAAGATCCTGCCTTAGCAAGACAGAGATCCCATACCGGTGACAGATCCTCGGTTAGCGACTGATAGCATGCTGAATTAATATTATGAAACATCACTAATGCATGTAGCTACTCAATATTATTATAAACATTGTATGTTTAATTCCATTAGACATAAACCATTGACCAAGTCAGAGACTAAGATTAGATCCAGCCACACCTAGGCTTCAAAAGGATTTTAGAAAGCAAAGGGGTCCACTCTGAACCTCGTGACTCAACAGGAGGGTCCTCCTGACACTTTGCATCTCCTGTCTCTATGTAAATCATTCTAACTCAGTTCTAACTCAAGTCTCCTTTGTATGTTTCTTCCATGCAGTAATTAATAAGGTGACCCTTGCCATGAAATTTATTGAACCTTGTCAAACCATTGTTAAAACTTTGTTAAATTCCAAACTTATTGAACTGTCAAATTATTATTTTATCTCAATAAAATATATTGCTGCTTCTCTCTTTTAAGGGGTGCATTCTACTCATCCATGACAAGACTGCATTCAGCTTTCCAAAGGAACGAACAGGAAACAGAAGACAGGTAGGGAAACCAACAGAAATGAGTAAAATGCACTAGACTGAAAAGGAATGCAACAGCTGCATCAGTAATGGAATAAAAATATTTCAGTTCAGCCTCAGTCTTTAACCAAGCAGGAAACAAAAGCAGACTACAGCCCAAGCTGCCAGAGTCTGTTCAATTCCAGACTTCAGGTTTACAGGTCTTGTTAGGGCTTTCAGCTTTTTTGTGGACACTCATTTCAGTTTCAGGTTATCTTACTCAGTGAAAATAATTCAGCTCAGAAAATGAAAGTATTCCAAAAGTTGGAACTGACTTCACCAGCATAATTAGTAGGTTGATCTAAAACCAGTGGTATTGATTTTAGTTCATGCTGCAGTGGTCTTAAACAGAAGACTATTGTACATCAAGGACTCAGTGATCTGCAGTACCAGGTGACCTGAATAGGCTCAGGCCTTACCACTCGAGACCACTGGATGAGCTCAGTAGACTGATTGTGACAGAATATGCAGCCCCCACTTGGCACCTGGCAATTACACCACTTACATGTGGTGTGATTTGCCTGGAGAAGAGAAGGCTCCAGGGAGACCTTATTGCAGCCTTTCAATACCTAAAGGGGGCTCATAAGAAAGACAGGGACAGACTTTTTATTAGAGCTTGTAGCAATAGGCTAGGGGGTAATGGTTCGAAACTGAAGGAGGGTAGATTCAGACTAGATACAAAGAAGAAATGTTTTACGATGAGGGTGGTGAAACACCGGAACAGGTTGCCCAGAGAGACAGTAGACGCCCTATCCCTGGAAACAGTCAAGGTCAGGCTGGACTGGACTCTGAGCACCCTGCTCTAGTTGAAGATGTCCCTGCTCATTGCAGGGGGGTTGGACTAGAGGACCTTTAAAGGTCCTTTCCAACCCAAACCATTCAAAGATTCTATGTCTCATCTTATCTTGAAGTGAAGCAGCATGTTTTCATATAACGTCCTTTGCTTGGCAGTGGAAATGATAAAGATAGAGGTGTTTCCTTCCAAGAACATCCTATAAAAGCTCTGAAGACTACAATGCTGGTGGATCCTCACCACAGACAGGATTTGCACAGCTTGCCATGCCTAGATGTCTGTCTAGTGCCCTACAACTCAGGGTTCCAACAGCTGAACCGATGTAAAGTTATCTATGCTATCCCCTTTTTTCCTTCTGCTGTTATCTCCAATAAATGTTATTTTAATCAATGTTAAGAGTCCAAGTGTCTTTTGTACTGGGATCTATAACAAACACTTGCGCTCATGTGCTACACCTGTTCAGTCATTGCCTTTTATAAACATACCAATTATCAGATTGGGCTTTGCAATGATAACATGGAAAGAAACAAAGAGGTTTTTGATCTCCTCCCCCAAAACAGACTAGAGAAGATAAAACAATGAGAAGGACAGAGACACTTGCAAAGATAAATACAATAGAAGCCAGTTAAATCCACAAGCAGATGGAAAGCAGAAGAATACATTTAGAAAAAAAACCCCAAACAACTCTATTTGGGGTTTGAGAGGTTTGGGGCATTTTTGGATTTCAGTAGTAAGCCAATAGATCATAACCTAAACAATACCTCTCACATGGAAAGTTAGGATCCTCACCAAATGAGAGCACTATGAAACAGTCCCAAATAGAAACAATATCACTAATAAAAAGCCACACAAGTCAGTATTGCTATAAATATCTTGCTATCTTCACATAGCCTTATGAAACTTCACTAAAAAGTTAAACTAAAAAACCGGTAAAGATACCTACATCCAAATGTTTTAGAAGCAATAATCAAGCAAACTAGTAGCATAACTCCCTATTGATTTCAATATCACTCAATGGAAGCATTCGTTCTAATTTCTAATTCACTGAAACAGCAGCACGTGAATAGATCTTTGGATTACTTTCAATTACTAACATGCAAACCCATACATTATCTTGTATATACATGCACTAATAAGAAAGGTTCACAGACTCGTTTCTGAAATACAGCCAAATCTGGCTCCGAGAAGGGCAGCTACAATAACATCTATTTGTAGTCACCTCTAGTAATTTCAGAAATTACTAAAACAAAATTATAAAGATACAGCATCCACTTACATTGCAGTAGTAAAACCCAGCATGTTGCCTCATCACATTAAAGACTGACTTACTACAGCAAACTCACCAAGATTAACCTCCATGCAAGAGTTTACCACAGTCTGAAGAACTGATTTTGTAAATCCTTATCACTTGGAGAAGCTCCAACTCTTTAATTTTTCGTACTTAAAACTGAAATCATTAGAGTTGATCACCATACCTAGGACTATTTAAAGGATAAGAAGATAGCTGGAGCTGGGCCACTATCTTCTGGGAAGCTGAGGTCCTTCCCTCCCCAACTTTTATGTTTACACCAACACTATTTCAAGACCTAACTGTTCAGGAAACCCAAACCACGATGCAGTACTGCTTCTCAATTTTTGCTCAAATGTAGCCCATGACTCAGTGGCCCCAAGTAATCTGGCACACTCCATCTAAATCAGAACAGATGGAGAAGCAAAGCAATCCACACATTATCAGTGAAAATCCTTTCAGAAAAAGATTGTTCTTTGAGGAACTAATTTGCTTCAATCTGAGGTACCCTGTAGTATACTCATATTACTATAATGTCTAAGTTATCTTACTCCCAAACTTAAACATGTCATGTTTTGCCATTGATAACCTACTTTGGCAAAACTTGGTTTAATTATTCAATTTCTACACAGTTTTTAAACAGACAAAACAGAGCATTTTCAAAACAGAGGGTATGGTTGGACTTGATTTTCAGGGTCTTTTCCAACCTAAATGATTCTATGATTCTGAAAGTTTTAGGCCTAAGGAGTACCTTTCAAAACTGCTAAACAGCAGGGACAAATGTAGATTGATCTACCCTGTTAGGAAGCCTTATAAAGAATTAAAGTGATGGGAAAGCAGTTTTCAGGCTTTGTTTTGCTGCACTACAACCAACAGTCCTATCCAGGAGCAGGGCTGTAAAGCAGCTTGACAGACATACTGTTTTCTCACTGCCACTAACATTGCAAATTGTGCAAAATGCAAAATTGAAAAGTCTTCCTATCAATAGCATTTCTTGATATTGACTAACAACTGAAAACATAGCTAAATGGTTCATAAATGAATGAGTTTTCTGTACTGTGCATCACTACTATTGTTGATAAAGTTTTGTTCGCCTTCATTTAGCAATGGCATAAAATAACCAGCTTAAGTTTAGTCTTTTTAAAAGCACTGAACCATGGGCATGTTCCTTAAGTGCTGGTAAAGAGGTTTACTCACAGTGCAAATGAACATGCATCAGATTCCAGGTTAACCAGGCAAAATAAGGCAGGGCATGTCACTACTTTATCATCCAAGCAGCAGCTGCACTATTATGGCTTTTTTATAGCTATTGTCAAGTTAGTTAAATCAACAGAAATGTTTAGCCTTTAGGAGAGAGCAGGTCAAGCTGTTCCCAGAACATCGCACTGCTCAAGTTGTAAACACCAATTATCTCTGTGGGTAGAACCTGGTGACAGCTCTAACTGAATACTGCTGAGATACACAAAGTGGGCACCACTCTACCCAAAGGAAAACATAAAGGCTGTGGAAGTGCCTTGCTCCAACTCTGTATCCTCAAGAATTAACACTTCTACCAGTGAGTAGGTATTTCTCCTGAGGTTTCTCATTTTTACCTTCATCTCTGCAAACCTTGCCATAACTACCTACCCAGTAACTGGCTCTCCCTGAATCTGACCAATGGTACTGTAAGAATATGGTGGAAAGTCCATTACAGCACAAAATCTTACTTGTTTTCCACTTGCAGCCAGAATAAGCTGTTTCAGTGGACTATCTAGCATGCAAAGTTACGTGACTGAAAAAGCAACAGACCATTCTCTGAGAAGCATACCTCAAAATAAGATGAATTAGAAGAGATTGGTATTAATATGGCAAATAGAAAACCCCACCAAGCTGTATGTGCCTATACATT